TTTGTGTTTCATAACATACCAATAAAGTAGGTTATTAGAGAAAAAAATATTATCTTCCATTATGTTTTTTAAAATTAAAAAAAATTCATTTACAAATGTACCCTTTTTTTTTTTTTTCTAACGTGGCAAATGTATTTGCCCATCGTCTCCGTCCCCCCACCCCTGCTAGAGTTGAGCTTGAGGCTAGTTAAGTAGTTATACTACGTGGTGAACACGTTAGGTATCACAAAAAAGGGATATGCAAGGTATTGTTTCTATAATAATTAAGAAAAAAATATCGTGTAGTTTAACTTATATTGAATTATACATTTATAATTATTAGATAGGATAATTTTTTGATGTTGGAGTCTTGTCTCATATTTAATGATTTTTATTTTACAATTTAACATAATTTAAATTATAAAATAGGACACTCAATAATTAAAAAGAATTACAACAAAATTTATTTTAAACTCACTTTAAAAAATTTTTTTTGTCAATAATCTAAATAATTCAATAATTATTTCTTTTCGCTAGAAATCAAAAATCCCAAATTCGAGTCATATGAATGCGGTAGAGTGAAATAAATAATAAGAGAGGGATGATTGCTTCTTATTGTACAACTAAAATAAAAAAAAATAAATAAATTTTTCTTTGATAGTTTTTTTTTTTTGAACAAGTTGTTAAGGGATGGGTTTTGAGAGGGGAAATGCACTTCAAATTGGCCTTGTCAGTTGACCCGAAAGGCCAAATGCCTTTGATAAAATTTTAAATTTATACGAAAAGTTACTTTTAAATCAACTATTTTTTATACTTTGTCAAACACTCTCAAAAATAATATACTCTCCAAAATTTGAAGGCCCAATTAACAGGCACTTTGCCAAAATATATAAATCCTCCTTTTACCGAAAAAAAAAAAAAAACCCCAAATATATTGGTGCTAGCACTTTGGCAAATGTACTTGCTAAAAAAAAGGTATTTTTTTGGTTTTTTTAATATTTTATGAGATAAATTATTAAATAAATGTTAAACTCTCAATTTGACTCCTCAACTATTGTATAGATCTCTGATTGGGTCCTTAAACTAAAA